CAGCAGTGGGGATAGGCTGGGCACTCACGGGTCAGTGTGGGCCACCCCTTGGGGGTGGACGATAAACACCATCACCTCAGCAGGTGCAGAAGAGCCACCTGGGACGCGCACCCCGAGTGCCGGCCTGCATGCCGGGGCAGCCCTCTGCAGCCCTCTCCTGGCCCTGCCACCATCGTCACCGGGAGACCGAGAAGGCGGTGAGTTCGGCTGTGTTAACTAAAAAAAGGGTCTGTTCTTCCCATCGACACAGAAGAAGCCATGTGTTCTACAGTGTACATTCTGCAGCGTCCATGATACAACCCCAGATTTCTAGACCCACAACGAGACGAGTCACTGTGACTGAGCTCAGAACAAGAAGGAACCAGCGGAGACTCCCGAGACCGGACGGCTCTGGGTGTGCAGAGCGGAGGAGCGCGTGTGGGGAGCGGATGGAAGCCCTCAGCCCAGAACCAGAAGCCAGCTTTAGAACAAGCACACCTGAAATGAACCCACGTGTGGGTAGGGGGCAGACGGGAGGGCAGCTAATCGGAGCAGGGGCGAGGGAACGGACACGTAAGAGCTGCTGCCGGTTGATCTTTCTTGCTAAGAAAAATTATTGGATGAAATAATGGCAGGAATTTTCACACACTGCATGAACTTCCCGATGGGATTTAGATTTGAGCTCCACAAGCCTCACGCATAAGAAAACCACATCTAATGTCCAGGCCGCACTTTTGCGAAATACTTCTCTGGTTTTCAGACAGAACATGGGAGTGCCAAAGGCTCAGTTTCTTTGCACATAAATTGAACAGCTTGGTGTCAGTCAGAAAGCACAGGTATCCAGTCAGTGCTGGGGGACACACATGCTGCCCCTCCTCCCCTCCATACTTGACATTTTTATATTTTTGAAATTCTAACCAAATCTGTCACTCCAGATTAAAGTTCATCCAGAAGAAAAAATGCGTAAGAACACTTACAGTCCGCAGAGCGACTCGCTAGGGTGGGCCTTTCCCGCAGTATCTGTGTGAGCAGTCAGTGACGGTGGGCACTGGCGTGGGAACGGCACGACTTGCCACAAACCACAACACTCCGGAGATAAAGTGGCCGAGACCCCGGAGGCCTCAGCCAGGACAGTATGAGGGGGACAAGGGGGACAAGGGGGACGAGGGCCGCCTGGGTTCTTTGCACAGGAAGAGAATGAGATCCCTGCGCGTTCACACGCCATGAATCAAGTTCAATTGGAGTAGACTTTGAAAACAGAACCCATAAAATAGTGCCCAAAGCAAAATGCTGTTTTACATCGTGAACCAGTATCAGTTCATTTTTATTTATTTGAAAGGCAGACAACACAGAGACAGAAAAATCAGATCTTCCACTTACTGTTCACTCCCCAAACGCCTCCAACAGCCAAAGGTGGGTCAGGCTGGTCAGGAGCCAGGGACTCCATCTGGGTCTCCCACCTGGGCGGCAGGGACCCAAGGACTGAAGCCATCAACTCCTGCCTCCCAGAGTGTGCGCCAGCAAGAAGCCAGAGTGAAAGTGGAGGCTGAACTTGACCCCAAAAACTCCAATATGGGCGCTGAACCTACCACACAACATCTGGCCCAGAGTTCACAGATGGGACCAGGCAAAATCTCAAAGGTCTTTTTACTGTTAAGTAAAAACTCTCAAACCTATTTAACACAAAGCAGAAAAACTGAGTAACATAAAACATTCTTACAAACGAAGAATTGTAAAATACACCATCAGAAAAACAGGCACAGACATGAATAAGCAAAGTGAAAACCAGTTACAGAGATGGGAACTGTGGGAGCTGTGGCGCAGGTTAGGCTGCACCTGGACACTGGAATCCCACGAGCTGTGGGTCGAGTCCCGGCTGCTCCACTCCCAGCTCCTGCCAGTGCACCTGGGAAGCCCCCGCCACCGTTAAGGGAGACTCGGATGAAGCTCCTGGCTGCAGCCTGCCCCAGCCCTGGCTCCGGCAGTCATCTGGGGGAATGAAACAACCAGTGGACAGATCTCTGACTCTAACTCTGCCTCTCAAAAATTTTTTTTAAAGATTTATTCATTTGAGAGGCAGAGTTAGGAGAGACAGAACAAGCTTTCCTCACTGGTTTACTCCCCACGTGGCTACAACAGCTGGGGCTGGGCCAGGAGCCTGCGCCTTCTTCAGGGTCTCCCAGGTGGGTGCAGGGACCCAAGCACTCGGGCCATTTTCAACCACTTTCCCATGGCACATTAGCAGGGAGCTGGATGGGAAGTGGAGCAGCCAGGACTTGAACTGGTGCCCATACGGGATGGCCATGGCTTTAACCTGCTGAGCCACAGTATCAGCCCCTCAAATAAATCAACCTTTAAAACAAAAACACAATTACAGATGGCTACCAAACATGTTAGAAGATATTCAGGGGCCGGCACTGTGGCGTAGCAGGTAAAGCCACCACCTGCAGTGCTGGCATCCCTTATGGGCACCAGTTTGAGTCCTGGCTGCTCCACTTCTGATCCAGCTCTCTGCTGTGGCCTGGGAAAGCAGTAGAAGATGCCCAGGTCCTTGACCCCTGCACCCACATGGGAGACCCAGAAGCTCCTAGCTCCTGGTTTCGGATCAGCATAAATCTAGCCGTCACGACCATCTGGGGAATGACCCAGCGGGTGGAAGACTTCTCTGTCTCTGTAACTCTTCCATTCAAATAAATAACTAAATCTTAAAAAAAAAAAAAAAAGACGCTCACCCTGACTGGACACTGGAGATCTTTGTTCATTAAAAGCTAACGCGACTGTGCTCAGAGCTTGGTCCTGGTCAAAGTGGGAAGAAAGTGGTGCTCTGTGTTCAACCGGTAGACTCTGGACAGGGAGAGGTGGCAAACATTTATCAAATATGAAAACTCTGTGACTCAGCAATTAGTTGTATTACCCCAAAGAAGTATTTGGACAAATGCACAAATATGTGTGCAAAAGGGTTTCCCTCAAGGTGTGTCCTGTTGTACTCAGTTTTAAAGCTCCAACAGGACCCAGACGTGGCTAGTTAGCTAACAGGCGAGACGTGCACCCACACTGCAGCGCCCAGGCCCGGCTCCTCCTGGCTCCGGCTCCTCACTCTGGCTTCCCACCAGGAGGCAACAGGCGATGGCTCCAACACTTGGGTTGCTGGCTTCTATCTTTGGCCTCACCCAGCCCTGGCTATTGTGGGCACTTGGGGAGTGAACCAGTGGATGGGAGTGCTCGTTCTCTGTACATCTGTCTCAAAAAGATTTTTCAGAGTTATCTGTTTATTTGAAAGGCAGAGTCACACAGAGAAATCCTCTACCCTCTGGTTCACTCCCCAAGTGGCCAAAACGACCAGGGCTGGGTCAGGCCCAAGCCAGGAGCTTTGGGTCACCCGTGTGGGGTGCAGGGTCTCAAGCCCTCGGGCCATCTTCCACTGCTTTCCCGAGTGCCCACATGGGATGCCAGTACTGCAGGCTGTGGCCTCAACCCTCTACGGCACAGTGCAGATTTTTGAAAACTGGGCACTCAAAGCTGTTTACAAGTTCAATTCTTGGAAGGTGTGGGGCTAAGAGTGGTCTTTACCGGAAGAAACACAAGGCAATTTTGCTTACAGCTTAATTTTTGGTCTATTTGTTCCTCTGCAATTTACAAAAAGCATTTTGTTTTCTAACCATTGTTTTCCAACCCCATTTTGAAAAACAAAAATTCGACACAAGTTCCACAGTGTTGTCCTCAGTTAAAATGCTTGGACTGGTGGATGAGATGGAAAACCCTTCGGTTATTAAGGCTTCAGGAAGCCAGGGCTGCTGGGGAAGCAGTGGCATGGGCTGTGGGCTTACATCAAACCCAGAGTGGGTACAGTGCATGGGCCCCAGTGGATTTCTGAGAGGGGAGGCAGCTGGGCCAAGGCCAGACTGGCGGGGAGGGTGCAGGAGTCCTGTGGAAACAATAGACTGCTGGGGAAAGCAAGCCAGAACGTACCCACCTGCCCTGGGGAGCGGACACCAACGGAGGCCATACCTGGAAAAACGGAATGCCCCGCAGGACCTTCACGTCCATGTCCCTTTGCCCCCAGCTCAGGGCACTGCACGGGAGGCAGCTCGAGGAGGTGGCGGCGGTGGCAGCAGCGGCAGTGGCACTTCACGGCAGCTTGAAAAGCAAGGCCTGCCACTCTTGCCAAGTGAACCGTGCGTTTCCAGCCAGCAGCTGCGGCCCACTGACGCAACAGGTGCCAGACGCTGTCAGGGCAGAAAAGCAAGGCAAGCGCAGGCTGGGGCCAGGACAGTGGTGCCCAGGACTTGACCTGCCATCCACAGGCCTCCTTTGGGGCCTCTGACAAGAGGGGGTGCACATTCACCATCCCTGCAAGGCAAGCGACCTGGCAGTGGCAAGAGACAAACCAGAGCCCCTTGCAAGATGGGCCAGGGCTCAGGGCAACATCACAAACACCCACACACTGAACGGCGCATGCCACGAGCTGACCAACAGGAGGCACCAGTGCAGAGCCGGCCCGAGCCTGTGGGCTCCAGCCCCGTCCCTGCATCTCTGTCCAGAAACGGACTGGCGCCACGTGCTGCGCCCCTCACCACCTCGGAATCTGCCCTGAGCTAACTGCTGGGCGGATTAGACCGTTTGGGGGAAACTGCTGTCGATTATGTAAATGTGGAGGGTCTTCCAACGTCCCTCTTGGCAAGTCAAAGTTCCACTGGCTAAGCGAGGCACAGGACAGCCAATGCCCCAAGTACAGCAGCGGCTTCTGGGAACAGGAGGGAGGCTGCGTCCTGACAGACAAGGTGCATGAGAACGCTGAGCAACGGCCCCTCTCTGCACCTCTGCTCTCCAGGCCCTCCGCGAGCCACACCGGGTCTCTGTCCCTGGTCTCCTCTTGCCCACTCCCCGTGGAAGAGCACACCCACCCTCCACAGCAGGGACCCCCAGTTCAGGTGCAGGGCGTTCCTGAAGCCTGTAGTCCAACCAGATTCTCAGAATACCAACATTTTGGTCTCATAATGCACAAGTCTATTCTTTCCAGGTACAGAGTACAACAAAATTAGTCACTTTTATTTAAAAGAAATAGTACAAATAAGTGTGCAAAATTAAATGTCATGATTAAATACACATAAAAGTAGCATGCATACTTTACATCAAAATCCACAAACAAAGTTAGTTGATTACAGGACAGTCAAGGAACTGGCAAAACTGAACTTGCTGCTATGCAGATTTTAAATGTTTGCAACTTGAAATCAAAACCATAAAATTAAGCTGCTTGAAAGGGAATTTTAAGAAAATTAAATATATTTCAAATACTATCGACAACGTGGAGCCCATAACCTATTTTAGTTACCAAATGTTTAAAAAGTCATGTGCCTTTCATTCCCAAACGTTAGTGTATAGCTATTCTTGCAGATGAACATGGAGAAAGGAAGCGGGCGACAGCTGGCGGAGGCATCTCCCTCCACCCCTCAGGTTTCATGACGCTCCAGGACTAACTTACGGTCTATGCGGTACTTGGTTTCCCACACACAAGAAAGACGCTATTTTGACCCAGAAGTTAACCAGGAGACCTGGCCACTGACCCCCACAGCCAAGAACTGGCTGTGACACAAAAGGACTCAGCTCAGGGGTGAGACTCGAGGTTGCCGCGTCCTAACAGCTCTGACACAGACACAGACACCCACGTGTGGACACGGACAGGACGACAACGGGCAACATCCACACTGGGTCATCTGAACAGGGCTAGGCCATTTCTCCTCAGGCTCAGGCAGGAGAAGGGATTCCCGTCTCCTTTGCAGGGCGAGCTGCTGGTGGTCTTCTCTGCTGAAACCCGTGTGACGTAAGAGCTGACGTCGCACTCGCGTTCCTTTCCCCGCGGCAGACTCGGCAGAGACAACGGACTCTGTGGCAGACACAGCCTCCACCTGTCGCCCCGCTCAGCCCGGTCCCTGGGCTTGCAGGGAGCCCGTGGGTGGGAGTGGTGGTAGAGCCTCCCCAGCTAACATCACAGCTGAACGAGAGGGAGCAGCCGTGGTCAGCCGGGCCGCTCAGTGCCACTGCGTGTCTACTGAATACTGGAAATGGGAAGCAGACAACCATAAATGGCTTCGAGACCAAGGCCCCTGGGCAGGCCCTCCAGCCCCGTACCCACGAGGCCCACAGGGCACTGCACCAGCCCCAGGAGCCTGAGGGGTGGCAGGTGCTGACTCACTGGTGAGTCACAGTTTGTCGTCAGTCATCTCGAGAAACTGTGCATAGACGTCGCGGATGCACTCCCCCTTGGGGTTGAACAGGAACTTGTAGTAGCTGCCGTCTGCGCAGATCGCTGGGACAGAAGGACACCATTTCAGACACCTGCTCTCAGGCTTCACTGAGCTGAACTGCAAGTGGCTCCTACCAGTCCCGTCAGGGACCCCACTTCCGTACTGAGCACACACACAGCCTAACGTCCAACTGTGCTGGAGCATACGTTGGGCCAACTAGTGCCGGCTACAGGGAGACCATGTTCTTTGGCCATCCCCATGAAAGTCCAATGATCCGCCCCAGTGATTGCCTGGGGACACCCAAGAGGGGTGAGGCCAGAGCTGATCACCCCCGAGATGGCCACAGAGCCTTCAAGAGAAAGGAGAGGGGGTTGGGGACAGCGTGCCTGACTGTACCAGGACCCCCAGCAAAGACCACTCACCAATGACAGCGTTGGGCTCTGTTCCAAAGGCACAAATGCATGGGGAGCCTGAGGGGACCTGAAACTTGGAGAAACTCCATTTGGAACTGAAGTACTTTGGAAGGAAACTGGCCGATGCCAAGCTGTGGGACAGGGAAGAAAAGAAAGAGTGGCTTCATTTGCAAAACAAAGTTAAGAAGCCACAGCAAAGTCACCTGCCTGAGCCTAGAATGCTGTTAAAAATTTTAAAAAGCTCTCTGGGGCCAGCAGTCTGGCATAGCAGGTTAAAGCCCCGTTTTGCAGTACCAGCAGCCCACATGGATGCCAGTTCGAGTCCTGGCTGCTCCATTTCCAATCCAGCTCCTTGCTAATGTGCCTGGGAAAGCAGTGGAAGATGGCCCAAGTGCTTGGGCCCCTGCACTCAACATGGGAGACCTGGAAGAAGCTCCTGGCTTTGGATCGGCTCAGCTCCAGCCGCTGCAGCCACTTGGGGAATGAACCAACAGATGGAAGATCTCTCTGTCTCTACCTCTCTCTCTGTAACTCTTTCAAATGAAATAAATCTGATATAGTTCTAGCCTCAATGATTTCTTTAAAATTCTATTTTTGCATTTAATCTTTTCTCACATGAACAAACCAAGTCCTTAGAAATGGTTTCATAATAAACAACAGCATAGGTTTCTCCTGCCACTCTATCACCTTCCTGGGTGCAGCAAACAAGGGAACCGCCGAGTTCAGGACTTTGTTCTCAATCACCTGAAGCACGCCTGGCTGCTCGTCAGACAAGTCCTGCAGAACTGACGAGGGCACAGCAGGTACACGATGCCGCTGTCTTCCTACCAATGTGCGCTGATTTTCAAAAATCAAATCAATGACAGCTGAAGATTTCAGCCTCAACGTGATGCTACACCTTCCAGCATCTCAGCTCCGGCTTCCCCACCGCCCAGCCCTCAGACCCACCTAGACTGTTTATTCCTTTTTGGATCTTCGGCTGCAAAGATGTGCACTGTGCCGTGGTCACTGGACACACAGATGAGGGACGCGTCCTGATTGAAGTTAATGCTGCAAAGAAAACCAGACGGAGCTCGGCTGTAGTGCACATGCAGACAAGACCCACGACTCGGCTAGCACACCAAGCCTGCTCGAGCCTCAGAAGCCTCATTCCTCCCTGTTCAAGGTAGCTACTTTGGGGCCAGTGCTGTGGGGTAGCAGGTTCAGCCGCCGTCTGCAGCACCCACATCCCATACGGGTGCTGGTACAAGTCCCCGCTGCTCCACTTCTGATACAGCTCCCTGCTTTGGATCGGTCCAGCTCTGGCCGTTGCAGCCACTGGGGGAGTGAACCAGCAGATAGAAGCTGTCTGTCTGTCTGTCTCTCTCTGTAACTCTGCTTTTCAAATAAAAAAAAAAATCTTAAAAAACACGCAGCAAGTTCAAGACCAACAACAGCTTCCACTATGGAACCAGGGGTCAAGGCCACAGTCCAGCGTGCCTGTGCCCGCAGATGGAGCTACCGCTGGGATGCGCCCAGGGAGAGAAACGCCCTTCCTCAGCTCCCCTCCCAGCCACTCAGAGCTGGCTCCCAGAGGTGAGAATCTCAGTCCCGTGACTCGTCCTGGAGGGGAATCCTCTGTCGAGAGCACAGAGAAATCCCCCACATGAACTACTCAACAGCCGCAGAAGCCAGAGGCAAGAGGGAGCATAAGGCCTCCTGGCCACGGCCGCCCAGGCAGGCCCGCACACCAGCTCTGCAGACACCCACGGGACACAACCACTCTCACCCAACGGGCTGCAGCAGGGCTGACAAGACAGGTCTCTCGCCTGAAAACACTGCCAGAGAAAGCCAGGAGGGAGGTAAAGGACGAACTAAAACTGCAAGCGTTAATAAACACTGAGTGGATGATGGGTCAATGCCAGTTAACTGTAATATTTCTTCTATTTTTCCGTATGTTTCCCATAATAAAAAGTTAGGATTAGCAATAAAAAGAGCAGAAATCTAACACAGCTTTGCAGTCTCCCCTCCCCACCCAAACCATGCAGGCCTACTTCCCCGCCCCCACCCAGAGCAGCTCCTCCCTGGGGAAGCTGCACACGCCCTTACCAGTAAATGTTTGCTGCTTGAGACCCTCTCCGTAGCTCCTGGATTAAATGCCCTGATGAAGTATCAAATATTCTTATAAGGGTCCCCTTTGAAAAACAGTGAAGTGTTTCATTATCAACATAATACCTTTGCTTTTGAAATGTTTTAAATTCACACATCTGTAAGCCCACACCACCCTTTCCCAAATTCCCCCCATTGTCTAAAATTCAACAGATCCCTCCTTATGTCCACCCACAGCTGTACTGAGAATGAGCTGGTGGCTCCAGCTCTCAGAGCACAGGGCCAGGGTCAGGGAGACAACCTCCTGTTGAGATGACCTCATGACCCCAGGGCCAGCCAGACCCTTGTCTGAGGCAGGCCTGTTCCTTGTCCAGACAGACGTCACCTGAGTTAGAAGTGCCATAGCGGTGACATGACCCTCTGCCAGCCACGCCAGCTGTGTCCACCTCCTAGACACACACAGCGCCAAGTGCTCAGGGGGGAACCCGGGGTCTCTTTAACATTTCGCCCATAAAGGAGATTCCTAGGCTGATTCTGAAAGCTTGGAGGAAGGTGAACTGCGACAGCTTTTGTGGAACGCTCTGCCAGCATCTACTAGAACACACACTCTGTTCCACTCCTAGGAGTGCACTGGGGAGGCTGGCACGTGAGCGGCGAGGAGGACACCCTGCACAGGTGACTGCTCAGCTGGGGACACCTTCCAGGTTCTCTCACCTTACGGCAGGGTTATCTCCCAACAAACCATCCTAGGCTCAAAGTGTGTTAATACACTGGCATTCCAGACACCACAGCTCAGGCTGCCTCCACTTACGCCACCTGTAGCTGGGCAACGTCAGTTCACAGAGGCCTGTTCTATAAGGAGCTGAACCCCTCATGTAACTGTTCAGGAACTGTGGGGCCCTGGCTGTGCCCTCTGCACTAGAGGGGCTGACCAGGGCTGTGGCTGCTACGGCTATACGACATAACCAGAGAGCACACAGGACAGTCCAGGAAAACGCCGAACTCCAGAACCTGAAGTCTCACTTCTAACGACTGTTTAGCGCTTTCCCAGCAAACAGAACTGTGAAACTCAATGAACCGTGGTAAGGTGGGCCCATCTGCACAAACGCTGTAAGATTTGGTATAATCAAAATTTATACTGCTGAGCTGGAGCATACTGATGAGTCTGAAAGAAGTAGAAAAGAACATACATAACCCTATGTTTTATATTTAGGGTTCTGTTTTTGTCATTGTTGTTGTTAATATCAGATTATGAGGGGGCCAGAGATAGAGAACCTAAAGGTAAAAATAAGAAAACAAAATTCACTAAAAGTGTAGAAGAACCCTATTTACGAATTCATATATAAGTTTATTCCAGGACCAGTGTTGTGACACAGTGAGCTAAGCCTGAGATGCTGGCATCCCACATCAGAGCGCCAGTTCGAGTCCTAGCTGCTCCACTTCTGATCCAGCTCTCTCCTGATGGCCTGGGAAAGCAGTAAAAGATGGCCCAAGTGCTTGGGGCCCTGCACCCACAAAGGAGACCCAGAAGAAGCTCCTGGCTTTGGATCAGTCCAGCTCCAACCTTTGCAGCCATTTGGGGAGTAAACCAGCAGATGGAAGACCTCTCTCTGTCTCTACCTCTCTAACTCTTTCTTTTTTTAACAATAAATGAATATCTGAATTAATTGAGGCTCAAGGAGGGGGGAGAATCCCAGATTTAAAATTGATTATTTATCTATTTATTTATTTATTTTTTGACAGGCAGAGTGGACAGTGAGAGAGAGAGAGAGAGAGAAAGGTCTTCCTTTGCCGTTGGTTCACCCTCCAATGGCTGCTGCGGCCGGCACACCGCACTGATCCAATGGCAGGAGCCAGGTACTTCTCCTGGTCTCCCATGGGGTGCAGGGCCCAAGCACTTGGGCCATCCTCCACTGCACTCCCGGGCCACAGCAGAGAGCTGGCCTGGAAGAGGGGCAACCGGGACAGAATCCGGCACCCTGACCGGGACTAGAACCCGGTGTGCCGGCACCGCAAGGCGGAGGATTAGCCTAGTGAGCCACGGCGCTGGCCTAAAATTATTTTTAAAAAATTTAACAGCCTTTCTCACATCAGGCAAACTAAAGGATACTCTATGGCCAATATCTTAAATTATAACCCGGTGGGGATTCAATGAGGAAACACAGGCAGGCAGGAAGGAAAAGCTCTAGGTTGTCAGACACCAAGTTGTGAAGAAACAGCACAGAAACCAAGTGGTTCTGGAATGTTAATGACAATATAACAAAGCAATTTTACATCTGCTGATTCTAACATCTCTTTGATTTTTAGTAATTTAATTTTATGTATTTTACAACGTATCCATTGGCAAATAACTGAAAATAAAGCTGGCGGCTTACCACGGAGAGTTTGTGATGCCCTGGCCTAGCCACCCCTCAGACGCAGTAACTGCCGGGGTGTGGGCCGGCTGGGGCCGGCTGGCCACCCGTGCGAGTCAAGATGGCGAGAGCCCGAGCGCTCAGGAGCACAGTTTCAACAGGTGAGGGGCACAAGCTTACTTTTTCAGATGCAGTTGCAATTCTTGTTCCCTGCAGGTTGAGAGCAACGCAGCTTAGGACACCCTCGTGTGCGGGAATGTCCACGGGCGGCTTCTCGGTGCTGGCCAGGTCCACAAGCTGAACATGGCCCGTGTGTGTGCCCGGGAAGGCCAGGAGGGAGTTGTTACTATTGGGACACAGGACACAGAGGCCTAGACAGAGACAGAAAGTGACACTGATCACTTCCTTCAAAGGTCTGCTTTCTCACAACCAAGACCTGCGCTGCCCTCGAGTCCTCAGCAAGAAATGATTACTCACGGGTTCTCAGCCATTTACACCAAAACCACCAATCAGTGTACAGGCTTCACGGCAAAGACGGCAGAGGGCCACAGGGCTACCTCCCACGAGACCACAGAATACTCTGCTAACGGACACATTTTATCAACTGCCTGTTTCTCTGTGTGCCAAACTGAGAACACAGTGCAAAAATTGCAAAACTTTAAAACTACACCATAAACCACAGCACAGAAATCCAGACAATAGCAAAAGAACTCCAGACTACATAGGAACAAACAGAGCAGATGTGCAAGACCAACGCAGGAAACGCGCGGTGCGAAGGCAAAGCAAAGACCTGACAGACACCTGCCGTCAGGCTGAAAGGCTTGATACTGCCGATATCTAACCCACACACACACAGCCTCTCAGACAAAACCTCACAACTCCTGTGAACACACAGACAAGCTGATACAAGGATCCTCAGTAAAACAAAGGTCCTAGAATAGCAAAGAAAAGAAAAAAAAAGTAAGGTAAGAATAAGACTGGAGGACTCAATTAGCTAATTTTAATTTCAAAGTTTACCCGAAGCTCTAGAAATCAAGGCAGCATGGCATGAGGACAAAAACACAAGGGACTGAGCGGAATCTACAGTCTAGGAAAGACATTCTCACCTGATCAAACAAAGGCACCAGGCAATCTCACAAAGAAGCAAGCTTATTTTCAACAAATGGAACCCAAAATTTCAGATTCATACAAAATAAAACAAAAACAAAGAACACAAACGTAGGTCTTTGCCACACACCATCTACAAAAATTAACCTGAAACGAACCACAGACTTAAGATCTCCAGCAACTGAGCTTCAGAGGGAAGCATAAAAGCATCTTTGATACGAAAAACATCACAGGCTGAAAGACACAAGCGCGGACCTGACAAGGGCTCAACTAACTCATGTAACGAACCCTTAAACTTCAGCAATGAGATAAGGCAATCAATTAAAAGTGGGCAGAAAATCTGAAGAGACACTTCCAAAAGCAGTTTTGTGATCGCAAACAGGTATTTGAGAAAGATGTTCACCATCACCACACTCAGAGAAGTAGTCTGACACCCGAGACACGCTGGCCACAGTGGCCACCTGGCAGGAAGCCAGGGCTGAAGACACACTTGCAGAGAGCAGGTATGGGAAGACTCATGGCAGCCTTCACTCGTAACAGCCAAGAAATGAGCAAACGTAAACAGCGGTAGCGGTAGACCCACTACCCACATGACAGAATATATTACTCAGCTTTCAAAACAAGCAGAATAATAATATATTCAACAAACTTGGAGAAATCTCAGAACTATCTAAGGAAAAGAATTATCTAAATACATCGGAAGAGGCCAAACTAGGGGGTCAGGTGCCTGGTAAAACTTCCAGGTGATGGGACATTCTATGTCTTATAACTATTAAAATTTATCAGATGATATTCTTAAAATAAGCACTTTATATAAACTTCTTGGAACTAGGGGGGGACCCCAACATTTAAAAAAGATAGAAAGATGATACAAGTAACAAAGTAGCCAAAAGCAATCCCCCCCGAATCAGAGGAAAAGAGAGCATTCACCACACCAGAACTCAGTGGCTCCCAAGTGGAAACAGGCTGAGAGCTACACAAAATTATGGGTTCCCGGGTTTACCTCAAATTCCTACATGACTGAGGTCACTGGGGGAGAGAGAAGGAAGAGAGCCAGCACAGACTCAGTGAGCTGAATCTCAGAACCGAGCTGCAGCAAAGAGGGAAGACCCAACGTCCCCAGTGTGCTCACAGCTCAAACCAGGGAGACACTGCTCAGACCAGAACCCATGCAGGGGACCGGGGCACCCAGGAGAGCTCTGCATCCCGCCACGGACCACTTTCTCCACATTTCTCACCTTTCGGATTATAGCAGGTTTCAAAGACATGCAACTGATGCGGATTGTGTGTGAACGTGAACACCTTAATCATGGAATCCAAAACCACCACAATTCTGCAAAGAAAAACAAGAATCAGAGCTACTGTCCTCAAACATTTGTGATTTCTGTTATTGTTCTGAAACTTCAATCATTGAAAACATCACATTTGAAAAGCTCATTCCTGGCCGGCGCCGCGGCTCACTAGGCTAATCCTCCGCCTAGTGGCGCCGGCACACTGGGTTCTAGTCCTGGTTGGGGCGCCAGATTCTGTCCCGGTTGCCCCTCTTCCAGGCCAGCTCTCTGCTGTGGCCAGGGAGTGCAGTGGAGGATGGCCCAGGTGCTTGGGCCCTGCACCCCATGGGAGACCAGGAAAAGCACCTGGCTCCTGGCTCCTGCCATCGGATCAGCGCGGTACGCCGGCCGCAGCGCGCCGGCCGTGGCGGCCATTGGAGGGTGAACCAACGGCAAAGGAAGACCTTTCTCTCTGTCTCTCTCTCTCACTGTCCACTCTGCCTGTCAAAAAAAAAAAAAAAAAAAGAAAAGCTCATTCCTGCATCCCAGGCCTATGCAAGAGGGGCCTTCGGAAACAGCCCCACAGGGTGCCCTGGAGGCAAGCCCAAGTGGGTGATTCACCCCCAGGGAGCACCTCTGCCTCAGAACTTGCTGAGGTTCAGAGACGTTATCATCAAACTTCTCATCTGGAGGAGACAAACATGGCAGAAATCTGATTTCTATATATTCTCTTCTAGACGTCTTAACACTAGTTTCAAAGTAAAAGGTCCTTGATCTGACTCAAGCAGGTACATCACTAAGGTCGTGTGAAAACTGAGGTTACTAGAATTAAGAAGCCACACAAGAACAGGGACGACAGGGCTCCCATCTATTTACCCTGCTTGGCCTCTTGGTCCTCCTCCAGCTGACAAATGGGACTTGTGAGAACACATCGATTACATCAAGTTGAAACCTAAATGAATGAAGCTCTGCTAAACGCTGCTCAGTGTCTGGACAAATTTGCAGTTTCCCAAATGCCACTAAGGCATTTAGGAGAGAAACCGACTCCTTTCAACGGGTGAGCCCACAACCTCTCCTCCAAGTAGCTTCCCAATTTTCCTGTACTTTCCCATTGAAAACACGCACGGAAGACAGTGCATGGGACAGCGAAGCACCTCAGGGCTCAGCACTGCACCTGCCAGATGGGACAGCGCTCCTGGAGTCACCCACACCCAGCAAGAACTGCCCCTCAAGGGAGCCTGGGAACCATGACCCTGCCGGCCTCAGTCCTCACTACACCTTCGGATCACAGACAATAGTCATCAACTTTGTTTTTTAAATATTTATTTATTTATTTATTTAATTTGAAAGGCACAGAGACAGAGAGAGATCTCCTATCTGCTAGTTCATTCCCCAAATGATCAAAAAAGCCAGGGCTGGGCCAAGCCAAGCCAGGAGCCAGGAACTCAATCCGGGTCTCCTACTTTCACGACAGGAATCCAATCACTTGAGCCATCACTGCCCCTTCCAGGGCTCCATTAGCAGGAAACGGAACTCTCGGGCGAGAGGCAGAGGTCAAGATCAGGCTCTCCAGAGCGGATCTACAGGCGTCCTCACCACCAGAGGCCAGAAGCCTGCTCTCATCAGCATTTCATCACATCATTTCAACAGTTCTCTTCAGAAAAACATTTCAGTCATCTTTAGAGGAAGTCAAATTCCACCTTTAAAAAGCATTGGCACCAAACCTACCTATCTCGCCGCAACTTGACTGCTTTGACTTCTGTAGAAAATTCTATTTCAATAACAGTCTTCTTCTTCAGGTCGTCCCATATCATCACTGAAACATCAAACAACTTGTGGTCGTGATCACAGACAGGTCACAGTGCTGGGGTACGGAGATGCCACCTGGACACGTGAGCTGGCGGCTCGCCCTACTGCAGGCACCGCCCCACCGCTGAACACCCAAACCCCTGCACCTGGGAGGCCTGGGACGCGGTCAGGCTCCCGGGGCTGTGCCAGGGACGACCTCTTAGACCCCTGCCTCCCCTGCTCAAAACTCTTCTTGATGGCCAGGTGCTCATCTGCTCCCTCCACCCCTTCCCCCTGCGCGACACCACGTCCACCCTGTCTCACAAGTTTGTGCACACAGGCACACACAGCCAGGCTCCGAGTCTCCTCGCTCCTAATCCTTGATGGGTTACTTCAGGAAAGCATCTGTTTTCCCCCCTCTTCCAGGTTCAACGTGATTGTGCCAAAGAGATCTTAAGGTGCTAGAGACACACCTGTACCAAAAACTTCCATAGCAAAACCAGACAGACAAAACCCGGGCTCAGTAACTGCTCCAACTCCACCCACTCTCGCTGGTTACTCCTGCTCTTCAGGGACAGAAATCCCTTTTGTTTTGCTCTCCTGCTCCACTGCAATACCCCATAATAGGATGTACCAGCAGTCTGTGTCCCAAGGGCCAAGGTCACTTACAAGTGATCTTTAAGCCTGAGAGTGACCATCAGCCCAGTGCTTCCTATCTTCTCTAAGTAGGGTATGAGGTGTGGAAAAGTCAGTTTTCCTCAAGTCAGGTCACAGGCAAAGATGGCAGAGAAATTTTGACAATTCTGCCTACAGGTCCTGAAGACATAACATGTGTCTTCGAGGTTAAATCTAGATGTGAATTTTTCCAGAATGGAATAAGTGACCTAAACTTCAAGTCAAAAGATTATGTGACACAAGCACACAGAACTACTAAACTTATCACTGAGGAACGTCATATCTATGTAGTGTTCAAGAAGTTAACTAAAATTCATGACCATTCAAAAGTGAAACAATTTTGTACTTATTCCATCAACCTCGTCTCTTCATTTAACAAACACTGCACTATTATCCTCAAAGAATGCTGAACGGTCACATGTCAGCCAGAGGGACAACTCACTCAGTGCAGCCACCTCACTTGAAAAAATCATCTTCCTGGCAATAGGCACTTTGTACTCCAGGATTTCTAAAGCCATTCAAGTTGCACTTCCTTTGGCTCCTCAACCTAGCACCGAAAAGCAGGCCACGACGGACTCCTGCAGATGACAAGGTCCAGATCAACTCCACGTTCAGAAATTCCTGAAAAAGCCACAACCCAGTCCACAGAGGCAGCACGACTCGCGCCAGAGCAGACGTGGCCAGGTGCCGGCCTGGGCTGTCTTCCTGCTGCACTTTCACGCAGGCCGGCAAGTCACAGCCACGGCACCGAGCCCTGGCTATCTTCCATGTTCTGTGCACAGGGCTCTATTTTGTTCCCAATATTAAAATACATGTCAGAAAAAGTAGGTGGGTGTTCAAATAAAATGCAGCTTCATAAAGACAAAATGAATAAAAATGTTCATGCCAGGATTTTATGTTTATCTTTTAACAAAGTCCCTGATGTATAAACTATGAATTCTTTGCTTGTCCCCTCAATTCTTTACTAAATAGAAAAGAGGTGGCCATCAAACAGCTCCAGTTACAACTTCCTCAATCTACTGCAATGCCAAGTTCCCCCAATCTTGTTCTATCGTTTCTCTAATGTTTTATTTATGTATTTTTATCTGCTTGAAAGGCAGAGACAAACACACACACACACAGGTATGCTGTATCCACTGTTCACTCCCAAATGCCCATGACAACCAGGGCTGGTCCTGGCTGAAGCCAGGATCCAAAATTCCATCAGTCTCCCACGTGAGTGTCAGGGACCCAAGTATCTGAGCTATCCCACTGCCTCCCAGGATGTACATTAGAAGGAAACTAGATTGAAAGTGGAAGTGGGATTTGATCCCAGGCACTCCGATATAAGATGTGGACATCACTGGTGGCAGCTGAACCTACACACAGCACCACAAAGCAAGCCTCAATCCTATTTTTCATAAACCAAAGATGCTAGATTTTTTTATATTTCAACACTATATAGCTTCCTTTGTAATTAAAATACTAACAGTAAATTTAAGAAGTAACTTTAACATTATTAAAAATGTTTTTAATCTAAAATACTAATCAGACTGATTTTTTAAGAGATTTGTTTATTTGAAAGGCAGAGTTACAGAAAGGCAGAGGCAGAAAGAGAATGAGAGAGAGAGGTCTTGTATCTGCTGGTTCACTCCACAGATGGCCGCAACAGTGGAGCTGAGCCGATCTGAAGCCAGGAGCTTCTTATGGGTCTCCAACGCGGGTGCAGGGGCCTAAGGACTTGGGTCATTTTCCACTGCTTTCCCAGGCTATGGCAGAGAGCTGGATTGGAAGTAGAGAAGCTGGAATTCAAACCAGCACCCATATGAGATGCTGGCACCACAGGTGGTAGCTTTAACCTGCTATGCCACAGTGCTGGCTCCCAGAATGAATTCTTTTTTTAAACGTTACTTTTAGGGGTTGGTACTGTGGCATATTAGGCTAAACCTCTGCCTGTGGCACAAACATCCCATATCGGCACTGGCTTGTGTCCCAGCTGCTCCTCTTCTGATCCAGCTCTCTGCCACAGCCTGGGAAAGCAGCAGAAGATGGCCTAAGTCCTTGGGCCCCTGCACCCACGTGGGAGACCCAGAAGTTGTTCCTGGATTCTGGCTTTGGATCAGCTCAGTTCTGGCTGTTGCAGTCATTTGAGTAGTGAACTGGCAGACGGAAGACCTTTCTGTTTCTCGCTCTCTTTGTAATGTTACCTCTCAAATAAATAAATAAAATCTTTAAAAATAATTACTTATAGGGGCTGGTGTTGTGGCATAGTAGGCAAGGCTATTGCCTGCAACACTAGCAAACCACATGGGTGCCAGTTAACTCCTGGCTGCTCCACTTCCTGCCAACGTGCCTGGAAAAGGAGCAGAAGATGGCCCAAGTCCTTAGGTCCCTATCCATGTGAGAGACCCAGAAGCTCCTGGCTCTGGTCCAGCCCAGCTCCAGCTGTTGTGGCCATTTGAGGAGTGAACAAGCAGATGGAAGATCTGTCTCTCCCCACATTTCTAACTCTGCCTTTCAAATAAATTTTAAAATTACCTTTATTTATTTATTTTTTATTTTTTTTTGACAGGCAGAGTAGACAGAGAGAGAGACAGAAAGAAAGGTCTTCCTTTGCCGTTGGTTCACCCTCCAATGGCCACCACAGCCGGCGCACTGCGGCTGGCGCATCACGCTGATCCGAAGCCAGGAGCCAGGTGCTTCTCCTGGTCTCCCATGTGGGTGGCAGGGCCCAAGGACCTGGGCCATCCTCCACTGCCCTCCCATGCCACAGCAGAGAGCTGGCCTGGAAGAGGGGCAACCGGGACAGAATCCGGTGCCCTGACCGGGACTAGAACCCAGTGTGCAGGCGCTGCAGGCGGAGGATTAGCCTATTGAGCCACGGCGCTGGCCTAAAATTACCTTTAGTAATAAACAATGTAAATAGGCCTATGGCTATTAAAGAAATTGAGTCAGTAATTAGTACTTCCACAGACTTAAAGCACTAGAGCCAGATGTGACACTGGTAACTCCTAACTAAACATTTAAGAAATTATGCAGTAGGTCAAGCTACTGTTTGAGATACCCACACCCCTATCACAATACCTGGTTCAACTTCTGGCTACTCTGCTTCTGATCCAGCTCCCTGTTAATGCACCTGGGAAAGCAGCAGAGGATAGCCCAAGTGCTTAGGCCCCTGCACTCAAGTAGGAGACCCAGATAAAGCTGCTGGCTCCTGCCTGGCCCAGCCCTGGCCATCACAGCCATTTGGGGAGTGAACCTGTGGATGGATGATCTCCCTGTCTCCACCCTCTAACTCTTTCCTTCAAAACATAAAATAAACCTTAAAAAAAAAAAAAAGATGCATTTATATACTTGACAAGCAGATCAAGAGAGAGAAGGGAGGGGAGGGGAGGGGAGGGAGAGGGAGAGGGAGAGGGAGAGAGAGCGAGAGCGAGAGCGAGAGCGAGAGCGAGAGAGCGAGGGAGAGCGAGCTTCCATCCATTGGTTCAGTTCTCAAATGCCCACAGAGCCAGAGTTGGGTCAAGCTGAAGCCAGGAGCCAGGAGCTCCATCCAGGCTTCCCACGTGGGCGGCAGGAAGCCACGTACTTGGACCATGACCCACTGCTTCCCCAGGTGCATTAGCAGGAAACTGGAGCAGCAGCAGGGCAGGGGGCGCTCTGCCACAGGATGCCAGCAGTGCGAGGAGAGGCTCAGCCACCTGCACCACAGCACCGGCTCAGGAACATTTCTCACGTCACTCTGAGGTCAGTGTTACTCTGATACCAAAACCTAAGACACTGCAGGCCAGAAGAAGAATCACATGATCCTGTCAGTAGGTTCAGAAAAAGCATCAGGAAACACCCAACAGCATTTATTATAAAAACTTGGGAAATAGGCCGGCGCCGCGGCTCACTAGGCTAATCCTCTGCCTAGCGGCGCCGGCACACCAGGTTCTAGTCCCGGTCGGGGTGCCGGATTCTGTCCCGGTTGCCCCTCTTCCAGGCCAGCTCTCTGCTGTGGCCAGGAAGTGCAGTGGAGGATGGCCCAGGTGCTTGGGCCCTGCACCCCACGGGAGACCAGGAAAAAGCACCTGGCTCCTGCCATCGGATCAGCGCGGTGCGCCGGCTGTGGTGGCCATTGGAGGGTGAACCAACGGCAAAGGCAGACCTTTCTCTCTGTCTCTCTCTCACTGTCCACTCTGCCTGTCAAAAAAAAAATTTTTTAAATAAAAAAAAATTAAAAAAAAAAAACAACTTGGGAAATCTCTCAGCTTGACAGACTACAAAAACACACAGCTAACATCCAAGTGAGCAGGGAGAAACGAGCAAGCTCCCACTAAGACCAGGCGCAGTGTGATGCCTCTCTCCACTGCCCTGACCGCGCACTGGACAGCCTCGCTGGCTCAACCAAGGGCGGAGTGCAGGGCTTCTCAGCCCTCGACGGCTCAAAGCCAGATCCACAGAAAACCCGCACACGGATGTTTGTCCCTAAATGTCAACCCAGACGTCCTTCGGAGGTTAAGCAGATAAACAGTGTGTGGTGCGTCTGAATGAAACAGTGCTCAGCACTAAAAGGAAAGCAGCTTTGGGGCCAGGAAGAGACCCAGAGCAGCTCTACAGGCACACTGCCAGCTGAATGAGGCAAGTCTGCAAGACCACACACTGCACGGGTCCAACCACAGCTCTGAAGACGGTCAGAAGGTCAGCTATTGAAGGATGGACAGGCAGAGCCTGGAGGATCTCAGGGCAGGGAAACTGCTCTGGAGGACACTGTACAGGGACACACGTCACTATCCACTTGTCAAAACCACACAACACTGGCCGGCGCCACAGCTCACTTGACTAATCCTCCGCCTGCGGCACCGGCACCCTGGGTTCTAGTCCTGGTTGCTCCTCTTCCAGGCCAGCTCTCTGCTGTGGCCCAGGAGTGCAGTGGAGGATGGCCCAAGTGCTTGGGCCCTGCACCCACATGGGAGACCAGGAGAAGCACCTGGCTCCTGGCTTCGGATCGGTGCAGCGCACCTGCTGTAGCAGCCATTTGGGGGGTGAACCAACGGAAGGAAGACCTTTCTCTCTGTCTCTCTCTCTCACTGTCTAACTATCTGTCAAAAAACAAAAACAAAACAACACAAAACAAAAAACAAAACAAACCAAAAACATGGACTCCATGCAGGCTCACCAACTGCAACATGCCTCACACCCTCCGGGGCAACTCTCCACTCTCCACTCAGTTTTCTGTGAATCTAAAACCGCTCACAGAACAAGTTTTATTAATGATTTAAAAATTACCTTGCCTTGCCGTGCTGGCAACCACTCTCCACCCTCTAACTATTTTGATGTATAACTTTTTGGACCAAAGCATTTATTTTTCAAAACATTTTTCCATGAAATCTTTTTTTCAGGATTTATTTATTTAATTGAAAAGTAGAGTTACAGTTAGAGAGAGGCAGAGGCAGAGGGAGAGGGAGAGAGAGAGAGGTCTTCCATCAGCTGGTTCACTCCCCAGAAGGCCGCAACAGCCGGAGCTGAGCTGATCCGAAGCCAGGAGCTTCTTCCAGGTCTCCCACGTGGGTGCAGGGGTCCAAGAATCTGGGCCATCTTCTACTGCTTTCCCAGGCCATAGCAGAGAGCTGGATCGGAAGTGGAGCAGCTGGGATTCTAACCAGTGTTCATATGGGATGCTGGCACTGCAGGCGGCAGCTTAACGGGCTAATCCAAGTGCCACCCCCACCATAAAATCTTTTTTAAAAATTGTTTGATTTATTTGAGAGAGCTCCCATGTATGTACTCCTAAACTCTCTACAAAAACACTTTGTCCCTCTTGACTGAATGAGCACGACCTGTGTCTTCCTCTCAGTCATCCAAACGGATCACTCCTGAAACCTTCCATCTGTTCTAATTACAGCTGCTGAACTCCTCTGCAGTACACTAGCAGATGTGTGTGAAGCCAGGGCACCACCACAAGGGCTGAGACGGCTCATTTTCAACTCCAGGGCAGCTTCCTCACTGAGGTCCCAGCCGAACTGTCTTCGCAGTGAGTGAGTCTACTGCCCGTGTGCGTGCGCAGGAGACACGGAACCCTCATCGTGGAGTGAGGCGGGGGAACACTGCTTCCCTGCTTTTCAGGACCAGGAATCCTGAGGGTGGCTACCCTGCGCTGTCAGCACCATGTTCTAGCCAAGTTGCAGCAGGCGCCCAGCCACGCTGCAGTCAGCAAGGCCCCGGCCCAGATCCAGGACAGACGCTGCGAATCAGGCACACTTCCTTCCTCATATCTAGGCAAGTAAACCACTGCACCAAAACAGGAACAAAGCCATCTTTTCTGCTCTTCTGCTGTTACATCCAAGTTGCCAGGAACTTAATCTGCTCACATAATTAATTATGTGATTCACTGCTCACATAAGCACACGTGTACACATGCAGTAACTCCCTACATGCTAAGCCCAAGAACAGCCTGCCCCAGACAACAGAGCTGAGCAGCAGAAGGTGAAGACACCTGCAAGATGCACCACGCTTGAGAATGTCCACTTCTCTGGAACTTAACAGTTTTAGATGCTTCTTGTCTAACTTATTTTTTATAAGAAATTCTGTATTCACTGTAAACACTTCATCCATTAGGAAGGAGCTGTTAACATGCTACTCATGTTTGACTTTGATACCAACGCCTACAACTCCTCGTTAAGCCTCTGAGTGATCAATTTTTAAGGACTACTGAGGTTTGCAAGTTAAGCTATTTTAAAATATTCTGCACCACTTATCTGCATAAAGCAGAACTATCTTAATTTACCAAACATGTACAGAAGTCCAACACAGACAACTGACGGGAGATGACCACCACACCTGAGGCACTTCTCTGACCCTAGCAGACACAGCAGTGTCTCACATCCAAGGTCTCACTTTCCAAGGTTCATTAGCCAAGCTCAATCTCTGTCTGAAGATATTAAATGAAAGGGCCAGCGCTGTGGCACAGCATGTTAAGCCTCAGCTTGGGATGCCAGCAGCCCATATGGGTGCCAGTTCAAGCCCCAGCTTCTCCACTTCCCATCCAGTTCCCTGCTAATGCACCCAGAGAAGCAGCAGAAGATGGCCCAAGTACTCGGGCCCCTGCACTCAGGTGGGAGACCCAGAACAAACTCCAGGTCCTTGGCTTCAGCCTGGCTGTTGCAGCCATTTGGGGAGTGAACAAGCAGATCGAAGATCTCTTTTTCTCCCCTCCCTTCTTCCCTCCCTCCCTCTCCTTCTCTGTAATTGTGTCTTTCAAATCAATAAAAAATAAATCTTAAAAAAAAACCAAAGACATTATGGGGCTGGCACTGTAGCACAGTAGGCTAAGCCTCCACCTGTGGTGCCAGCATCCTATATGGGCACTGGTTCTAGTCCTAGCTGCTCCTCTTCTGATCAGCCCTCTGCTATGGTGGGAAAGCAGTAGAAGATGGCCCAAGAGCTTAGGCCCCTGCACCCACATGGGGGACCTGGAAGAAGGTCCTGGCTTCAGATCTGCCCAGCTCCGGCTGTCGCAGCCATCTGCGGGAGCGAACCAGCAGATAGAAGACCTTTCTCTCTACCTCTCAAGTAAATATATAAAAATCTTTAAAAAAAAAAAAAAGATATTAAATGGAAAAATCGCAGAACTGCACTGCACATTGTTCTGGGCAGCATGATAAGTCTCCCATGGCTGTCCTCTGGCCTGTGCCTGCATGTGAGTCATCCCTTTGTCTATTTTACTTGGCCACACACACTACCTGCCCATCCGTCACGCAGCAGCCTTCTCACCACATCACCTGTCAGGGTAGGCGCTGCTTGTACTCAAGTGGCCCTTATATTCCTTCATCAAGGCCCCAAAGTGCAAGGGCAGCGATACTGGTAATTCAAATACACCAAAGTGACTGCTTCCCTTAGGTGAAAGGTGAGAAGTTCTCAACTTTGTAAGAGAACAAACAAGCAAACAAAAACCCCATGCTGAGGCAGCTGCCACCACTGTTACTCTCTCACTGTGCCTGCTTCACTGTGCCTGTTTGGCACCACACAGGGATTCAGGCATGCACGGGGTCTTAGCACACATCCTGGTGGATAAGGAGGTCTACTGAAAGAATAATACACTCAACGTGCTTTGTGCATCCTAACTCATTCATTCTTTTACAACATTCCAACATAGACACTGCTCTCACCCTCACTTTACAGCTGGAGAAACCAAGTCCCACACAAGCTGGGGAACTTGCCCCAGGTCATGCAGCGAGCCAGAACTCAGATCTCACAATGCGGACAAGTCTGAGCTCTTGGCCTCCAGACCACCTGCCTTTCTATACTGAATCAAGGGTAAGGACCCCAGGCCACAACTCCTGGATACAAAGCACCACTCAAGCCTTACATTCCAGGGTTACACATACGATTTCACTCCAGAAAGGGTTTCTGCTGTCCCCTCTCAAATAAAACCTGATGTGAGATATTCCTGCTAAAATGGAAGGGCCTGCTTCATACAGCACCAGCACACTCCAGCTGCACCTGTCTGACAGCTGACAAGCAGTTCTAGAGTCAGGAGCTGAACAGGTGCTGTGAATAAAAACCAAAACCACACCACAGGGAGAAGAAGGACATTTGCATTCTCTATGACTTATCTGAGACCTGCTCACCTGTTAGCAGGTAAAGGCTTATGAGATGCCAGACATTTAGGAAAAATAGAAGAGAAAAACGAACTGAAAAATTTCTACGCATAGATTTTAAGTTTTTCCCTGGAAAATAGGAAAAAAAAAAAAAACTGTAACTATTTGATTTACCAACAGAATTCCCATTTCCAACATCTGAAAATTTGTATTTCAGGAAAACTAGATTAAAACACTGAAATAAGCACACAGACGCAACAAATACGTATTATTACAAATATTTTCTCTAAGAGCTGATCATGTGGCAAGAGTTGAGAGTTCCATGTGTTATAATTAAACCCAACATTTGCGTTTTCTCCAGTTCTACATTCAACAAGGAAAAAGTTAAAATGGCCTGCAAGCAGAGCTAGGCCTGGCAGAGACGGGGAAAGAGGTGCGCACGGAGTGATAACACACTAGGGATCAGAGTGGGGCCCACCCCCGAGCCTGCGGATCACAACCCTGCACGCAGCAGCGGGACAAGCACTTCTTTATAGAGGCCCATGAACCCGACTGACTTCTCAAAGACAGCCATACCCCCTTCCACTCCGCCCCAACCTGCAAGATAAAATTAGATTCCTTAGAGTTGGAAAGAGAAGAAGCCAAGAACTGTCACTTACTCCTTACCTTGTTTCTCTTTTTCCTTTAGTGGATCGGTGTTATAAACTCGGAATCCATTCTCCATGCCACATGCAAAGCACCCTAAAGCAGGGAGGTGTGAAAGAGACACATTAGTCCCTAGGTCCAGAGGGGCTAACGCAAGGGGCTGCAGAAACCGGCATCCTCCAAGAACCCACAGAGGCTCACGCCATACACATGACAAGCTCCGCGTCAGAGCTACTTTCCAGGTGCCAGCATCACGGCTCAGCAGCTTGACACCACTGTGACACTGCCACCTCATCCGGGAGCGCCGGTTCTAGTCCCAGCCGCTCTGCTAACTCAGCTTCTTGCTAATAATGTGCCTGGGAAGGCAGTAGAAGATGGCCCAAGCCATGTGGGAAACCCAGATGGAATTCTTGGCTCCTGGCTTCAGCCCAACCCAGCCCTATTACAGCCATTTGAGGAGTGAACCAGAGGTGTGTCTCTCTCTCTCTCTCTCTCTCTCTCTCTCATTCTGCCTTTTAAACAGAGGTAGTATGGGGAGAAGGAGAAGAAATCTTCATCTGTTCGTTCACTCTCCAAGTGGCAGCAACAGCCAGGGGCGTGGAACTCCAAATACTTGGGCCACCTTGCGCTGTTTTCCCAGGCACATTAGCAGGGAGCTAGATCAGAAGTGGAGCAGCTGGGACTCAAACCGGCATTCACATGGGATGTCTGGCATCACAGGCAGTGGCTTAAGCCACTGCACCAAAAGGCTGGGCCCCAAATTAAAACAAACAAACAAACAAACAAACACTCCTCACAGAAATGTTACCAAGTGATAAACAAACCCCAGCAGGACATTCTGTTTGCCAGGCGGCAGCAAGGGAACGCCCAGAGCTGCTCAGGTCACTGAGTGCTGCAGGCTCCCGCGGGACACTGAATTCCAGCGAAGGGAACCAGCAGCTGCGCCGAGGAGCCTCGCGCCTGCCTCTCACGACGCGTGCTGTGTGCTGTGTGCTGTGTGCCAGGGCCTAAAGAGGCAGCAGCAGACGTCCCGTGGAGCGCAGCCACGAGGCAGGCAGTCCCGGCAGCGCAGCCCAGGTAAGGGAAGAGCTGGGCGCTGGGGGAGCTGAGTAGTCGTTCTAGACCCCAGGACAGGATGGGTTCCTCAAAAGCACTGATGAACTTGGACCCCATCTGTCCATTTTCCTAACTCCTGAAATCCCTGTCATAGTCTCACAGTGAATGACCCAGCCCATCCAGGTCACCCTCTCCAAGGCACACATCAAAATTCTGATAGTCCAAATAAAAGTGCTGTTCAGAACTGGACAAAACACTAAGTTTCCCGACGACAGTGCCTCAGTTCCTGGCACCTGGACTCCCTCCGCCGTAAGTGGGACCCAGCAGTCATCTTAAATGCTGTGTCCAACAACTGCTGGTACATATGCTCAGGCTGGCAGGAGAAAAACCAAACCCTCCAGTCCTCTTTCTCCATGAACTGCCACAAGTCTAACTCCTCACTGCGACCACACAATGGTCTGACAGCCAATGCAAAGCCTCTTAAATTCCATCCCACTGGTTATGATCCAGAACCAGACTTACTTTCTTCTCAGCCACTCTTCTGGAAACATGTGAAAAACTTGCCTACATTTTTACCCAAGTCACTTATTTATTTATTTTTTTTTAATTATTTTTTTTTTAACAGGCAGAGTGGACAGTGAGAGAGAGAGACAGAGAGAAAGGTCTTCCTTTGCCGTTGGTTCACCCTCCAATGGCCGCCACAGCTGGCGCGCTGCGGCCAGCACACCGCGCTGATCCGATGGCAGGAGCCAGGAGCCAGGAGCTTCTCCTGGTCTCCCATGGGGTGCAGGGCCCAAGCACCTGGGCCATCCTCCACTGCACTCCCTGGCCACAGCAGAGAGCTGGCCTGGAAGAGGGGCAACCGGGACAGAATCCGGCGCCCCAACCGGGACTAGAACCCGGTGTGCCGGCGCCGCTAGGCAGAGGATTAGCCTAGTGAGCCGCGGCGCTGGCCCCAAGTCACTTATAAACCATAGATCATGTGGTTCAAGAACCTGTGACAATAACCCCCAAGGAGCTAAAAACCACTTTGCAATTCTGAAAGGTAATTATCTGAAACTTACTTGAAAATGCTATGCTGTTATCTCAAGTTATTTTGGATGCTAACACCCTTTGTTGTTGGAATCAGATAATCCACATGGAAGAATCAGAGCTTTCCTTGTTGGCAAATACAGAAATAAAATACAGGAGTTGAATATTTTCCATCTCCCAACCATTACATCTTTCCCAAGTTTTAGGCTTAGACTTGTATTATTTGCCTTCATCAGATCATATATATTCCTGAGCCCCCCCCCCCCCCGTCCTGCAAAAAAAATTGTATAAAAAATCCAGAAGAAATGGGCTGAAAACTCAGTGGAAAAATGAGCAAAAGATTTGGACATTTCACAAGAGATGCCCAAATGGTCAAACATACAAGTTCAGGAAAATGCACCTAAAACATGGTAAGATTTACTACACACTGAGCAACAAGGCCAAAATGTTGGAAAACACCAAGCGTGAGCCGGGCACAGAGTCCTGGAGCTCTGAGTTGCTGGTGGAGGGCACACTGCTGCCAGCTCTCTGGGAAAGCGCACCATCGTCTGCAGGCAACCTGCTCCAGGCACACAGCAGTAGAGCCGTGAACATCACGCTCACAAGACAGTTTCAGAACAATCAGTCACATCACTACATTCAAGGTGCCCAAAACCAGAGCCTACCCAAATGTTCAACAAGGGCAGAATGGAAAAGTGAACCGCAATGTATCTGCACAAGGGAACACTACCTATCCGTAACAATGATTCACAATCATACCCAGCAATGCGGGGTGGGACATGATGGTCAATAAAGTCAAAAACAAAAAGCAGCACAAAAGTACAGAAGAAAAACTAATCTCCGTTGCTAGATGTCAGGCAGGGAGCAGTAACTGGAAGGAGCACAGGGCGGCCATGTATATCAATTTCCTAACCTGGGTGCTAGTGAGAGGTGTGGAAAAGTCATGCACGTTTCTGTACATGCGGCAAACCTCACTAGAAAGTTAGAAGGCAAAACGATGGGAAGTTCTCTCCAGGAGGCTGGGCATCACCCTTGCTATCATTTTTTTTTTTCTCAGAGAAAGAAGCCTTCAGCCCCTGCGCACACCCCTAAGGAAGCCAGCAGTGCCAAGGAAGCCCAACTGGCAACAGACTCACTGAGAGGGTATTCGTCCAACTGTGTGGGGTCCACCTTCAGACACCCCCCCCAACGTGAGAACCAGACGTAGGCCAAGAACTCGGCTGCCACCCCAGTCTTGCTGTTCCAGCTAGTACACAGCAAAAGTCTACGTCCTCAAACACATCTGCCTCCTTTGGGAATCAAAAGGCCCTAGGTGGGCACATTACACAAATGTGCATGTAGTACACTGAGGCTTGAAGTGTGTAATACAGGTTTTCTTTGGGAGAAGATAAGCCAAAATTTTGAACAATTTAAAATTCTGGAAAAAAATTCCTTTATCTTGCCTTTATTTATTTATTTCTCTATTTGAAAGTCAGAGTTACACAGAGAGGAAAAGACAGAGATCTTCCACCTGCTGGTTTATTCCTCAAATGGCTGTGATGGCCAGGGCTGGGCCAGACCGAAGGGAGGAGTCAGGAGCCTCCCCCAGATCTTCCTCGTGTGTGCAGGGCCCACACCCCTGGGCCACTCTCCACTGTTTCCCAGGCTCACTGGCAGGAAGCTGGATCCAAGGTGCAGCAGCTGCGTCTAGAACCGGCTCCCAGATGAGATGCGGCGTGGCAGGCAGCAGCTTAACCTGCTATGCAATGCTGGCCTCCCCCTCCCCTCGTTTTTTTAAAAAACAAAGAAATAAAAGACACAAATTTACGCTAAAGAGTATTAACCTAACTAACCAGTAGCTTAAGCAAGCACACTGGGGCCTCGGCCTACAGGCCAGCACCCCAGATGGACACCAGTTTGAATCCCGGCTGCTCCACTCGATCCTGCTGTGGCCGGGAAGGCAGGCAGAGGATGCCCCAAGCGCTTGGCCCTGCACCCGCGTGGGAGACCCGGAAGAAGCTCCTGGCTTCGGATCAGCCCAGCTCCAGCCATCTGGGGAGTGACCCAGCGGACGGAAGGCCTCTTTCTCTCCCTCTGTCTGTAATTCTGCCTCTCAAGTAAAACTGTGATCTCACTGCTAACTCCTTAAAAGGCTCGCAATTACCAGAACCCATGTAAAAGCCACGGGTCCTCCGGAGCCAGACACCGCCCGAGGGCGGCAAACTCAGGACCCCGGGCGCGGCGGGGACCCCACCCCGGGCGCCCCGCGCAGCCCGGCTGCTCCCCCACCTCCGAGTCAGCTCGGCCTCTTCCAATTCAGCAACTTCCTGCCCTCCACCTTCCACCTCCATCCAGGGGCCGGCTCTCCCAAACCCCAGGAGCGCCTGGCGCACCAAGCAGACACCGAGACACTGCCCAGTGCGGCGGGCAATCACCGCATCACTCGTTTAAAAATGTCCACTGGAAATGATCTCCACAAATGGGATCGTGCGGCACTCGCTCCGCTAAAAAAAAAAAAAAAAAAAAGTTTTCAAAAGCAAAACTCCCGCAGCCGACACGTAGGCGCTGCGAGGGGTCTCCCGGCGGCCGGAGCCGGCTGGTCCCCAGCAGGCCGCCCCGGCCGCGGGAGGCCCGCCGCGCACCCGCCCAGTGCCGTGCGGGCCAGGCCTCCAGCGGCCGCACCTGGGTTCCGGGGGCAAGGGCGCGCCCTCAAGGCCCTCGCCCGCCAGCGACACCAGCGACACCAGCGACGCCGGCACCTCCGACTGGGCCCCAGCGAGCCGGAGGCCCCCGCGGCCCGGGCCGCTCGCGGAGCACTCGGGGGTCCCCAGGCCGGCTGCGTGCTACCCGCTAGCACCCCGCGGAAGTGCGGCGGGCGCACGGCTCTCGGGCCACCCCGGGCCCCGCGCCGCCCGCCGCCTCCGCGGGGACCCGCACGGGCGAGCGGGGGGCGGGCCCGCGCCTGGCCCGGCGCGGCGGGGTCGGGGGTCTCGGGCGGAGGCCCGGCCGGGGCGCGCCTCACCGTGGTCCTGGTTGAAGCCGGCGTAGAGCAGCCCGTTGCCGTGCGGGTTACACGGCAGGAGGTTCATGGCGCCGGCGCGGTGGTCCCCCGCCCCTCAACGCCTCATGCCGCTCGGGGCGCCGGCGGCTGTGTGACCGTCGGGCCGGCGCGGGGGCCGGCGCGGCCGGAAGTGCTGGGCTGCGTGCGTGCGTGCGTGCGCGCGCCGTCAGGTAGCCTGCAGAGCGCCGAGTGCATCCAACCGAAGCGCGGCAGGGCGGCCAGGGAGCGCAGAAAGTGTCCACGCGCGCGGCCCAGGCTTGCGGGGCGGGGCGGGGCGGGGCGGGGCGGCGGTTGCGGGAGGGCCCCGCCGGGTGTGGAGGCGGGGCCGCGAGCGCTAGGTCCGGCTGCAGAGACGGTGGCGGCTGAGGGCGCCTGGGGCCGGCCTGAGGGTCTGAGAACGGGGAAGGGAAGGAGGGGAAGCGGACCCAAGGGGACTCCCAGCACACGGCCTCTCGCGACAGAACGAGTCTCCACCGAACGGGAGGTCCCTCAGGACAGGGCCCCCAGGACGAGTGTCCCCCCAGGACGAGTGTCCCCCCCCAGGACGACTGTCCCCAGGACTAGTGTCCCCCCCAGGACGAGTGTCCCCCCGGGACGACTGTCCCCAGGACGAGTGTCTCCCCAGGACGAGTGTCCCCCCAGGACAAGTGGCCCCCCCAGGACGAGTGTTCCCTCCAGGACGAGTGTCCCCCCCAGGACGAGTGTCCCCCCAGGACGAGTGTCCCCAAGACGAGTGTCCCCCCAGGACGACTGTCCCCAAGATGAGTGTCTCCCCAGGACGACAGTCCCCAAGACGAGTGTCTCCCCAAGACGAGTGTCTCCCCCAGGATGAGTGTCCCCCCCAAGAATGACTGTCCCCAGGACAAGTGTCCCCCCAGGACGACTGTCCCCAAGATGAGTGTCTACCCCCAGGACGAGTGCCCCCCCAAAGACGACTGTCCCCAGGACGAGTGTCCCCCCCCAGGACGACTGTCCCCAAGACGAGTGTCTCCCCCCAGGACGAGTGTCCACCCAGGACAAGTGTCCCCAAGACGAGTGTCTCCCCCCAGGACGAGTGTCCCCAGGACAAGTGGCCCCCCAGGACGACTGTCCCCAGGACTAGTGTCCCCACCCAGGACGAGTGTCCCCCCCAGGACGACTGTCTCCAAGATGAGTGTCTCCCCCCAGGACGAGTGTCCCCCCAGGACGAGTGGCCCCCCAGGACTACTATCCCCAGGATGAGTGTCTCCCCAGGACGAGTGTCCCCCCAGGACTACTATCCCCAGGATGAATGTCCCCAGGACGAGTGTCCCCCCAGGACTAGTATCCCCAGGTTGAGTGTCCCCAGGACGATTGTCCCCCCAGGACGCGTGTCCCCAGATTGAGTGTCTCCCCCCAGGACGAGTGGCCCCCCAGGACTACTATCCCCAGGATGAGTGTCCCCAGGACGAGTGTCCCCCCAGGACTACTATCCCCAGGATGAATGTCCCCAGGACGAGTGTCCCCCCAGGACTACTATCCCCAGGACGAGTGTCCCCCCAGGACGAGTGTCCCCCCAGGACTACTATCCCCAGGATGAGTGTCCCCAGGACGAGTGGCCCCCCAGGACGAGTGTCCCCAGGATGAGTGTCCCCAGGACGAGTGTCCCCCCAGGACTACTATCCCCAGGACGAGTGTCCCCAGGACGAGTGTCCCCCCAGGACGAGTGTCTCACCCAGGATGAGTGTCTCCCCCCAGGACGATTGTCCCCCCAGGACGCGTGTCCCCAGGACGAATGTCCCAGGACAAGTGTCCCCAGGAGGAGTGTCCCCCGTAACACGGCCTCCACAGGAATTGCCTTCACTCCACAGGGACAATTGCCCTGGGTGTCTTGGTCACCGAGGTCTGGCCTTGGTCCTTGCTCAGTGAGTGACCATGGAGTCCGAGGGGCTGTCCCTGTGTCTGCTGCCCATGGATTCCTCTCCATTCTTCCGCTCTTCACTGTCCTGCTTCTTTCTCCTGGGTATCCCCTCTCCTGCCCTCCCCTTTGCAGTGCAGTACCCTCGACCTCCTGGGGGGTCCTCCAGAGCCCCCTCCCAGCCCACCTGCCTCCCATCGTGGTCTGTCATCCTCCTCATCCCCTCCTCACTGCGTGTGCTGGCCAGCCATCTCCAGGGACAGAGCTTCCTCTGGTGTGGCTCAGGTGCACCCCTGCTGGGCCCCTAAACTCAGAGCAAGGGAGGGCCAGGTTCTCCCTGTGTCCCAGGTTCTGGTCACTCAGTCCCCATCCAAGAGGCCACCGTGTCGTATGGTTCCTCCCTGAGGCTTATCAATGGCCACGAGATACTGCAGCTGAACAGGCAGCCCAGGATCATGTCAGCGCCAGGACGAGGTCCAGGACTCCCCGCTGAAGCTGGGCGCTTGTCCCCACAGCCTCTCCTGTCTTCAGTGTATGGGTGCACGTGCCTGTCACGACCAGTATGACACAGAGGGCACAGACATGGCAGGGACTTTCCCTCGATTTCTCTGGTCTCCTTCCGTTCATGTTTCATTCAGTCTTCCTGTAACAGGCTCGGGTGTTAGTGAGGGTGTCCGCTCACCGCATCGGTTGTACCCAACCAGGGAGTGCTGTGTTGCCCTCTGTAGGGGTTGAATGGTGGCTCCCAAAAGATACATCTGCCCAGAACCCACAAATGTGACTTCATTTAGACAGGAAATCTGCAGATTTGATTGAGGATCTTGAGATGAGCTCGTCCAATGACAAATGTCCCTGGAGGAGAAGACACGTGGGGGAAGGCCACAGGCAGAACCTGGCGTGGTGGGGCCACAAGCACGGGACGGATTCTCCAGGACTGGCCCTTAGGCACCGCAGCCCTCCCACCCGCGGAGGGCATCTGGGGACTGAACCGGCAGGTGGCAGTGCTCCTCTGTCTCTCCCTTCTCCCTCTCCCTTCCTCCCGCTCTCTCAATTAAATAATTGATTTTTTGAAAAACCTTTCTATTTGTAAGATGAAAAATCTCATCTACCGTTCTTACAAGGCCGCAAAGAGAAATGCATCACAGCGCCCTTTCAGAATGCTCGGAGTGTCTGGGTAGGTCAGGGGTACCCTGTGAAATTATTAATGGGTTTAAAAAATACTGCAAGGGCTGGAGAGTCAGCGAGCTGTATAGCGATCAAGGGAGGGGCACTTTCCACAGACACTCGAGAGCCCCCTGACACAGAAGCTGACACATGGCACCATCCATCACCCTGCACTACCACAGGAATGAAAGTGAAAATGAACTGGAGGCTAGCACTCAAGCGTGACACCTGCACTGGGGCAGCAGTTCAAGTCCCAGCTACTCGACTTCCCATCCAGCTCCCTGCTAATGTGCCTGGGAAAGCAGCAGAGGCTAGCCCAAGCCCACGTGGGAGAGCTGGATGGAGTTCCTGGCTCCTGGTTTCGACCTGATCCAGCCCTGTCCATCTTAGCCCTGTGGTGAGTAAACCCGCAAATGCAAGATCCCTTTCTCTGTGTGTCTCCTCCTCTCTGTCTTCCAAATAAAGCGATTAATAAATCTGTTTCTTAAATGAACCAGCTAAAGTCATTTGTATGCATGTGGATGAATTTCAGAAGAAGGTTGAGGAAGGAAAACGAGTTACAAAAACACGCATCTGGTGTGATTCAGTTCACACATAGATTAGCTAAAACTCAAGAGTTTATTATTTTGGAGTGGATTCCTGTGTCAGGAAAACCAGCGGGGCTCTGTCCTGGTGCAGCAAATTAAACTGCCCCATGGGATTCTTGCGTCTCACTTCCAGTGCCCGGGATAGAGTCCCACCTCCTCTTCTGATCCAGCTGCCTGCTAATTAGTGCAGGTAGGGAAGTACCTGCCGGTACCTAATGGAGGTAGGATTGGCCCAGCCCTGGCTGTTGCAGGTATTTGGGGAATGAACCAGCAGATGGAAAATCTGTCTCCGTCTCTCTCTCTCTCTCTCTGCCTTTCAAAATAAATAAACATTAAGGGGGAGGAGGAGGGTAAGAGGAAGGAGAAAGAGAAGAAAAAGAAGACGGGGAGTGGTTTCCACATAAAAGATGTCGCTTTCTCCTGCAGGCAGGAGAATTGTGTGTGTAGAGAAGGCACACATCACACCAAACACCCGCCCCCATGTCCATGACCCAGCCCCTAGAATTTGAGACTACGTTGCCTCATATGCAAAAAGAATTGTATAGGTCAATTAGTTAAGGAATTTGAGAAGGGGAGATTATCCAGAATTCTCCAGGTGGGCCGTAAAAGTCATCACAAAAATTTTTTTTGCTTTAAGATTTTTATGTTATTCCTTTGAAAGAGTTACGGGAAGGGAGAGGGGAGACCTTCCATCTACTGGTTCACTCCTCAGATGGCCGCAACAGCTGGGCCAGACTGAAACCAGGAGCCAGGAGCTTCTTCCTGGTCTCCATGTGGGCGCAGGGGCCCAAGGACTTGAGACATTCTCCAGGGCTTTCCCAAACGCATCAGCAGGAGCTGGATCGGAAGTGGAACATCCGGGCTCAAACCAGTGCCCGTAAGGATGCGGGTGTCTCAGGTGGAGATTTTACCCACTACACCGCAACGATGGCCTCATCACAAAGATTCCTAGAGAGGGAAAGGGCGAGAAAGGAGGTGGCTGTGAGCACAGAGGTGAGAGAGGAGGGTGCTGCCCGTGCCGGCCGTGCTGCAGCTTCCAGAAGAAACCAGCCCTGCTCACACCTTGATTCTACTTTACCTATTTTTAAATATTTTTTTTTATTTGAAAGGCAGAGTTGGGGCCAGTGCTGTGGCGCAGCGGGTTAACGCCCAGGTCTGAAGCGCTGGCATCCCATATGGGCTCCAGTTCTAGTCCCGGCTGCTCTACTTCCAATTCAGCTCTCTGCATGGCCTGGAAAAGCAGTAGAAGATGGCCCAAGTCCTTGGGCCCCTGCACCCATGTGGGAGACCCGGAAGAAGCCCCCGGCTCCTGGCTTTGGATTGGCACAGCTCTGGCCGTTGTGGCCAATTAGGGAGTGCACCATCAGATGGACGACCTCTGCCTCTCCTCTCTCTGTGTAACTCTTTCAAATAAATAAGTCTTAAAAAAATAAAAGAAAGAAAGAAAGAAAGAAAGAAAGAAAGAAAGAAAGAAAGAAAGAAAGAAAGAAAGAAGGAAGGAAGGAAGGGAGAAAGAAAGAAAG